ATGTGTGTGTGTGGCTGCTTGTACTAGTCCGGACTGATGCCGATTTATAGTGCTAGCTCACTGAGATACCATGCCGCAGTTTAACATGAATACCCCACTCAGACACAGTATACTGACTCCGAGCCGACCAGTCCTTGTTTTAGCCCCTTAATGCCGAGCGCCAGACAGGGTAACAACAAGTACAATCTTTTAACGTCTTTTTGTATGACGCGGCCCGGGATCGAACCCTGGACCTTCCGCTCTCCGGGCGGACGCTCTACCACAAGACCACGGAGGCGGTCTCTTGGGGTACAAACTTACGGAGGATGCAGCAGTTTGCTAGCATCCTTCCATTAACTCTGCATCCTGAGAAGCTGGGTATGTCATTTTCTATTTACAACAAAAAATTAACACAGCAGAAAACTAAGATGTTTAGTCCACTGGTACTCATGATAACATAGCAAAACAACTCAAAATGGCAAATTTCTACTAGTCCTTATGACAATGTTAGAAATTGGCACTAGTCCTGTAGTCCTTACCAAACTGCCCAATAGTAAAGGTATCCTAAGGACTAGTAGAAATTGGCCCATTTTAAGGGTTTTGATATTTGTTATCATTATAAGGACTAGTGGACAAAAACTGTTAGTTTCTAACCCTGTTATGATACCTGTACTATTGGGCAGGTTGACAAGGACAAATGCCAGTTTCTTTTGTTGTTTACACGGTTAACACCCATGTTTTCAACTTCTGATGCATATTGTCCTGATGAAATCACTGGCTGTGAATCATCACTGTGTTGAAGAATGAAGCAGTCTGAGAAACTGTTGAAACTTGGATGGGAGGTCCAATGGCTTCACCTATCAACTAGATAGTATTCTACCAGTGTGTGATGTTTAAACCCAGCTTCCTCACAAGCACATCTGAGGCTGGGGGTTGTGCAGGTTTGAGGAAGGACCATGAGGCTGGGGGTTGTGCAGGTTTGAGGAAGGTACATGAGGCTAGGGGTTGTGCAGGTTTGAGGAAGGACCACGAGGCTAGGGGTTGTGCAGGTTTGAGGAAGGTACATGAGGCTAGGGGTTGTGCAGGTTTGAGGAAGGACCACGAGGCTAGGGGTTGTGCAGGTTTGAGGAAGGACCACGAGGCTGGGGGTTGTGCAGGTTTGAGGAAGAACCACGAGGCTAGGGGTTGTGCAGGTTTGAGGAAGAACCACGAGGCTGGGGGTTGTGCAGGTTTGAGGAAGGACCATGAGGCTAGGGGTTGTGCAGGTTTGAGGAAGGACCACGAGGCTAGGGGTTGTGAAAGGTTTGAGGAAGAACCACGAGGCTAGGGGTTGTGCAGGTTTGAGGAAGGTACACAAGGCTAGGGGTTGTGCAGGTTTGAGGAAGGTACATGAGGCTGGGGGTTGTGCAGGTTTGAGGAAGGACCATGAGGCTGGGGGTTGTGCAGGTTTGAGGAAGGTACATGAGGCTAGGGGTTGTGCAGGTTTGAGGAAGGTACATGAGGCTAGGGGTTGTGCAGGTTTGAGGAAGGACCATGAGGCTAGGGGTTGTGCAGGTTTGAGGAAGGACCACGAGGCTGGGGGTTGTGCAGGTTTGAGGAAGAACCATGAGGCTAGGGGTTGTGCAGGTTTGAGGAAGGACCACGAGGCTGGGGGTTGTGCAGGTTTGAGGAAGAACCATGAGGCTAGGGGTTGTGCAGGTTTGAGGAAGGACCACGAGGCTGGGGGTTGTGCAGGTTTGAGGAAGGACCATGAGGCTAGGGGTTGTGCAGGTTTGAGGAAGGACCATGAGGCTGGGGGTTGTGCAGGTTTGAGGAAGAACCATGAGGCTGGGGGTTGTGCAGGTTTGAGGAAGGACCACGAGGCTGGGGGTTGTGCAGGTTTGAGGAAGGACCATAAGGCTGGGGGTTGTGCAGGTTTGAGGAAGGTACATGAGGCTGGGGGTTGTGCAGGTTTGAGGAAGGTACATGAGGCTAGGGGTTGTGCAGGTTTGAGGAAGGTACATGAGGCTGGGGGTTGTGCAGGTTTGAGGAAGAACCATGAGGCTGGGGGTTGTGCAGGTTTGAGGAAGGACCACGAGGCTGGGGGTTGTGCAGGTTTGAGGAAGGACCATGAGGCTAGGGGTTGTGCAGGTTTGAGGAAGGTACATGAGGCTGGTGGTTGTGAAAGGTTTGAGGAAGGTACATGAGGCTAGGGGTTGTGCAGGTTTGAGGAAGGACCATGAGGCTAGGGGTTGTGAAAGGTTTGAGGAAGGACCACGAGGCTAGGGGTTGTGCAGGTTTGAGGAAGGTACATGAGGCTGGTGGTTGTGCAGGTTTGAGGAAGGTACATGAGGCTGGTGGTTGTGCAGGTTTGAGGAAGGTACATGAGGATGGTGGTTGTGCAGGTTTGAGGAAGGTACATGAGGCTGGTGGTTGTGCAGGTTTGAGGAAGGTACATGAGGATGGTGGTTGTGCAGGTTTGAGGAAGGTACATGAGGCTGGGGGTTGTGCAGGTTTGAGGAAGGACCATGAGGCTGGGGGTTGTGCAGGTTTGAGGAAGGTACATGAGGCTGGGGGTTGTGCAGGTTTGAGGAAGGTACATGAGGCTAGGGGTTGTGCAGGTTTGAGGAAGGTACATGAGGCTAGGGGTTGTGCAGGTTTGAGGAAGGACCACGAGGCTGGGGGTTGTGCAGGTTTGAGGAAGGACCATGAGGCTAGGGGTTGTGCAGGTTTGAGGAAGGACCACGAGGCTAGGGGTTGTGCAGGTTTGAGGAAGAACCATAAGGCTAGGGGTTGTGCAGGTTTGAGGAAGGTACATGAGGCTAGGGGTTGTGCAGGTTTGAGGAAGGTACATGAGGCTAGGGGTTGTGCAGGTTTGAGGAAGAACCATAAGGCTAGGGGTTGTGCAGGTTTGAGGAAGGACCATGAGGCTGGGGGTTGTGCAGGTTTGAGGAAGGTACATGAGGCTAGGGGTTGTGCAGGTTTGAGGAAGAACCATAAGGCTAGGGGTTGTGCAGGTTTGAGGAAGAACCATAAGGCTAGGGGTTGTGCAGGTTTGAGGAAGGACCATGAGGCTGGGGGTTGTGCAGGTTTGAGGAAGAACCATAAGGCTAGGGGTTGTGCAGGTTTGAGGAAGGTACATGAGGCTGGGGGTTGTGCAGGTTTGAGGAAGGACAATGAGGCTAGGGGTTGTGCAGGTTTGAGGAAGAACCACGAGGCTAGGGGTTGTGCAGGTTTGAGGAAGGACCATGAGGCTAGGGGTTGTGAAAGGTTTGAGGAAGGACCACGAGGCTAGGGGTTGTGAAAGGTTTGAGGAAGGACCATGAGGATGGTGGTTGTGCAGGTTTGAGGAAGAACCATGAGGCTAGGGGTTGTGCAGGTTTGAGGAAGGACCATGAGGCTGGGGGTTGTGCAGGTTTGAGGAAGAACCACGAGGCTAGGGGTTGTGCAGGTTTGAGGAAGGTACATGAGGCTAGGGGTTGTGAAAGGTTTGAGGAAGGACCACGAGGCTGGGGGTTGTGCAGGTTTGAGGAAGGACCATGAGGCTGGGGGTTGTGAAAGGTTTGAGGAAGGACCACGAGGCTAGGGGTTGTGAAAGGTTTGAGGAAGGACCATGAGGATGGTGGTTGTGCAGGTTTGAGGAAGAACCATGAGGCTAGGGGTTGTGCAGGTTTGAGGAAGGACCATGAGGCTGGGGGTTGTGCAGGTTTGAGGAAGAACCACGAGGCTAGGGGTTGTGCAGGTTTGAGGAAGGTACATGAGGCTAGGGGTTGTGCAGGTTTGAGGAAGGTACATGAGGCTAGGGGTTGTGCAGGTTTGAGGAAGGACCATGAGGCTGGTGGTTGTGCAGGTTTGAGGAAGGACCATTAGGCTAGGGGTTGTGCAGGTTTGAGGAAGGACCATGAGGCCATTTAAAGGTTTTAGTTAGGTAACAAGGCCTACTTAAAAACACCAAGTGAAATTAGAAAACAAATAAAATTACTTTTGTCAGTTACACTTTGGCAATGAGGTGAAATGAAATGAGGTTTTATCATCGCTGTTCGTAAGAAATGGAGTATAATGTGTATAGAGATCTTTAATGTAACAAAAAGGAAACCCAATCAATTATCTCTTGGTATCGTTTCGAAATCAAACTTCTATGATTGTGTAACCTACAACTTTGGTTTTCATTCCCTACTCAGCAATATTCCAGCTATATGACAGCGGTCTGTACATAATCAAGTCTGGACCAGACAATCCAGTGATTGATATAATGAGCATCGATCCTCGCAATGTAGGATCGATGACATGCATCAACCAAGTCAACGAGCCTGACCACCCGATCCTGTTAGTCGCCTTTGCTGGGTTGCTGAAGACCTATTCTGAGTTTTATGTGTAACACTAACAAAATCTTAATCAAAATAATATCTGTGAGAACTCCACACTAAGTTTCTGGACAATCTCAAAACCTGTTGTCTAGACAACCACTGTCACATTGGAATATTCCAAGATTCAACCACAACAGCCCAACAACAACAAAGTACCTGACTTTAACTAAACAATTTTACCAGAGTGAGTGAGTTGGGTATATAGCCGCTTTGAACAGTATTCCAGTTATATCACGGCGTGTTAGCGTCATGTGAGAGGAAAGCTTAAAGTTAAAGTCATGCAGGTCTCAGACGTTCACCACTTTGGTGAAACCCGTGAGCACTGCTATGGTGCTTACAGGCTTAGAAACATAATCGGGGGTAACCAGGATTTGAACCCACAATAATAGGTTCCTGGCATGACCAAGGGACGCAACTCCACACAGCGAATTGCGTCACTTTAGACAATTGGGCCTCCTTTGCCCATTATTTTACCATGTGTGAGTGAGTGAGTACGGTTTTACGCCGCTTTTAGCAATATTCCAGCAATATCACGGGGGGGACACCAGAAATGGGCTGCGCACATTGTACCCATGTTGGGAATCGAACCTTGGTCGAACTCGTGGCGAGCGAACGCTTTAACCACTAGGCTCCCCGAAATTTTAACATGAAATTGTGAGATGAAATGGTACTAACGTTTGAGTCGCATCGTCTGCTTATATGCCTCTTGCTCGTGTTGCAACCACAGCGTCTTGTTCACAAACTGAACGCAATCGTCCGCTAATCCGTTACTTTCCATATCCAACGAAACGAGTGCTGCTTCCTTCTCATGTACCATTCGGGAATATCCACAACCAAACTCCACAGAAATTCACGATTTGGAAATTCCAAAACCCAGTATATATCCACAGTGTATTCCACAGGTATATCAATATATCACAGCATATACCTCACTGTTATTCAACGTGTTGCTAGATATCACAAATACAAAATCCACTTTTCACCTTTTGAGACCTTCCCCCGAATTTCTCTACAACAGGTCATGAGAGTTTCCCCCTTCAAGTGATCTCACTGCTAAATGACATGCCATCAACTTTTTAAACACAATCACACACAAAAAACACCATACAGTTGCCTCAACAGAAACCAGACTCCGACCAGGCTGGATGAACACAAATCCTCAATGTGATATCTCCGAGTTCTTCACTGTGCTGAGTCTTTTTCCGAGTCAGGTGGATGACCCACTTGGGAGTACATGTATCGTGGCCTCGTCATGCTGCCCTCACTGATACAGCAGTAGGGATGGAGCCTCCTCCGTCCGTCACTTGCTCACATTCTCCTTGTCGGCCTATATTCCATAGGCCAGCTTTGACCACCACACACAAGATGGCCGTGTCATGGACATACCAGGCTGTCCTGTCTCCGAGGGAAGCTGCTAGGGGCTGCTAGGGTGCCCCATGTACACAGTATGTAGATATGTAGGTAGGAGAACACAGCCAGTAAGCCAGTCAGCCTCCACCTCAGTTCTCTCAGCTCAGGCTGACCTGATTACAGGGGCTGCTTCAACCACTCACAACCTCCGTCTCTCAGTAACTCTCACACACCATAATTGGCTCACAGATTCCTGCCCCTCCAGCCATATTAATAATTGACCAATCAGGGCGGATGTAACAAAGGCTCTTCGTCAGCTGTTATCTGTCTAGGGTGAATATAATGAAGCAAGGCTGAGAGCTATTTTGGGAAGCTGAGGACTCTGTGGTACTAGGGGCCTGTCCTCTCCCTCGTCTACCTGCTACACAGCTGGCATGAGACCGATGTACATCACAACGGTGGCTAGCATCTCCACCGCCACTGAATGCTGATGAGAAGGATGGTACTGCATCCACTCAACTTCAGATTCTGCTTATTTGCAACATGACACATGGCTGATTTTGAAGTTTGTTACATATGAATGAAAGTCTTCAGTTCATATTGCTTTCAGCAACTTTTTAAGTGATGATTCTGTGGTATCAGTTATTAAATTGAAGAAATGCACCAAAAATATTTTTTCCTTATATTTAGAGTAGATTTCAAAATCAGAGTGAGGTTTAATGCCGCTTTTAGCAATATTCCAGCAATATAACGATGGTTGAAATTAGAAGCAGATCCATTTAGAACATAAGAAATACAAAAAATAAAAAACAGAAGAATTCTCAGTATTTACATTCAATATATATTGATAAACAGAATGAAAGTTCTCATGAGAAAATCTCCATGAATGAAGGACCAAGGTCCATATCAAATTATCTGGATGGGCCTGTGTCTATTTTCGGCCACCTAGCCCAGAGACAGTCATGCTTCAGCGAGCCCTGACCAGCTGGTCACCTCCTGAGCTTCAGAAACATCACACATGGTTCAGTGGTCAGCTGAAGGCCTTATAGCGAGGTGGCCATGTATTCATTTTCTTCAGGACATCATAAAGGTGACACAAGGTTCAGTGAACAGCTGGTGTCCTTATACTGAGGCAGCCATGTAGTCATTAACAGAGCATTACTGAGGTGACACACAGGGCCAGTGATCAGCTGATGTCCTTATAGTGAGGAAGCCACGCAGCTGCTGTCAACCAATCCAAAGAAAATGCCACAGCACAGCTGATTGTCCTAGTAATGAAGACAGTCAATTTTGCCGGCGAAAGAAAGGCACCGAGATTACAATAAATACTTTGTGTACTTGAAAATGAACAATGTAGACACTAACTCAGGAACCCATCAAATCTCTATCTGCTTCCAGTATACACACACAACAATCCCGCGCTATAGTGAAACTGCCAGGGATACAACCATTGTTACATCACTGCTGGCTTGGACAATGGCAGCCTTGAATGGACAAGCAATTAACAAAGTCTGAACAGAAGGGCAGCCTGGTTTATTGAGCCCTTGCATCAGAACCTGGTCAACAATATCCTTGCCTGACCCAACACAGACCACACAGCCAGTGCCCTTTCATCAAACAAGTATGCCAGGAATTTCAGCTGTCCAGTCAAAGTCTATAGTAATGTGTTCTTTCATTACATCACGGGGCCACTACATAATTAGCATAGATCAGGTCAGGGGTCACTGGGGTATAAAACAAATACATCCCAAACAGGATATAACAGTACACTAGGAATTAACACAATCAGCGTGACCAGTCCACTGATTTCGGAGCAGCTGTCTGCCTGATTAAGGAAATATAAGAGGCTATTATCAATGTAGACTACTTTTTTAAAACTTTTTGGTTTTCAGATTCAGAAAATCATAAGGGCATATCCACAAAATATGTTTTCCAAAATTTATTTCTTAAAAATATTGTCATTCTGTAAAAACGAAACTTGAAAACAATCGAATCAGTTCATTTTACAGCAGTTAATTTGGAAAACTGACCTTGATCTCTTTAGAAATAACGCAGAAAATATTTTTAATCCACGAATTGTGATGATCGGAATGAAATAATGACTATTGTAAATATTTTCAACAGGGATGTCAACATGACACAATTCACCAACGCATAAGTGTATCAATTATATTTTTTGTTTGTTTGTTGTTTAACGCCGCACTTAGCAACATGCCATTTATATGATGGCGGTCTGTAAATAGTCAAGTCTGGACCAGACAACTGATATCATGAGCATCGATCCACGCAAATGGGATATGATGGCATGCATCAACCAAGTCAGCAAGCCTGACCACCCGATCCCGTTAGTCGCCTCTTACTACAAGCACAGTCTGTATCAACAATAGTATCTTATGATACAATAATAGTATCTTATGATACAATACAAGATACACACCAAGTCCAGAAAGACATGGAACACTAATTTTCCAACAAGGTTTATTTCCACAACCAACAAATAAAATAAATTAAGGCCGTCATGAATTCTTCATGGTCTTTGGCCCACAAAGCTATCACACTTTATAAACAAGTACACAAAGATGTCACTTTGTACATATTCAAGGCTTTTCAAGCTACTTTGGTTATTTTCACATTATTATTTTTATTTTGGTTATTTTCAAGGGGGACTTTACTATAAAATTCAAGGCCTTTTCAAGCCTGTACAAACCCCACCATTTTTCAAGTCCAAAATGAACCCTGCTATTGTGTCTCTCAAATTCTAAAATAGAATGAATACTGTATCAAATTAGTTTTGAGGGGAAATCCCAGTAAAATAACGGACAACTGGATATGGTCCCTTCCACGAAGGATTCACCAAATTTTGGCAAAAGAATAATACATGACAGCCTCAGAAAAAGTTAAGGATGTGTCGAAAATTTCCAGTTAAAACCAATGAGTTGGCAGCAGTTACCAAATCTACATCATTAAACATGAAGATTCCTATCTTCCTGTGCAAGTAAATAAATTATTTATCAAATATTAAGAGAATATGCCCAAGAAAACTAACTGTCATTTGACAACCAGCGTTTTCATTTTGTGGTGGTGCTGAAGACAGGAGGAGTTATTTCCCTTACTTTGTTGGCGCTGTGATGCCTTCAGCTGCATTATGTCCGAATACACCTTTCTTGTGGTTTAAAAAAAAGTTCAGAATGTGGCTCATATTACAAGAGTTAAGATCTTTGATGGTGTGCTGGTAAATAAATATGTAGATAAGACTTGTGTGAAAAGAAATATGAAAATAAGGATACCTTCAAACAAACATTCCTCACAAAATGAGAAACTTTAAAGACTAAAAAACATGTGGTTCAAATAATCAGACCAACCATAATTTAAGGTGCCGACCCTAACTTGTTTTGGTGACAAAAGAATGAATGAATGAGTGAGTGAGTGAATGGTTTCACGCCGCCTTTAGCAATATTCCAGCAATATCACGACAGGGGCTTCACACATTGGACCAGTGTTTGAAATAGGCGCTTGCCCGCAGGCCCTTGGCAGATAGATCTTGTGTCAGGCCCGCAGTGTTAAAAATTGGCACTAGTCCTGTAGTCCTTACCAAACTGCCCAATAGTAGTGGTGAGTGAGTATGGTTTAACGCCGTTATTAGCAATATTCCAGCAATATCACGGCGGGGGACACCAGAAATGGCAGAGTTAGAAATTCGCACTAGTCCTGTAGTCCTTACCAAACTGCCCAAAAGTAAAGGTATCCTAAGGACTAGTAGAAATTGGCCTGTTTTGAGGGTTTTACTATATGTTATCATTATAAGGATTAGTGGACAAAAACTGTTACTTTCTAACCCTGAATGGGCTTCACACATTGTACCCATGTCGGGAATTGAACCCGGGTCTTCGGCGTGACGAGCGAACGCTTTAACCAGTAGGCTACCCGACCGCCCCCTGCCCAAATAGTAAAGGTATCCTAAGGACTAGTAGAAATTGGACCATTTTAAGGGTTTTGCTTAAGGGTTATCATTATAAGGATTAGTGGACAAAAACTGTTAGTTTCTAACCCTGGCCGGTAGTTTCAAGTTTGTATGGGTGCTTATGGCCTGTTGTAAATTTATGTGTCGATTTATTTGTCACAATACACTGCAATTGTTTTTATTTTATTTCAAACGCTACATTGGACCCATGAGGGGAAAGGAACCCACCAGGCCTTCGGTGTCACAAGCGAACACATTAACCACATGGCTACCCGTAACGATCACAGTCCCACACTAAGTAAAAAATATCGAACCTGACCTTTAATAACTGTTCCACTGAACACTAATCAGTAGTGCAAGTTAAAAGTGAAAATATACGTGTTTTCATTTGTTGTGCCATACTTGACACTGCCAACTGTAAATCCTAAGTGTGCAGTGTGAAAAGAGTAACTTCACCGAAGATTTTCGGGTGAAGCAACATGTGTTTGATTTAATTTGTGCACAAAGTTTTGACTCCTTGAAACCAAAAGAAAACACCGTCCGGTCAACTCTGTATATACACATAAAAGTTGGCAACTGTTGACAATTTGTTTGGTGTTGGCAAAAGAACAGATATTAATTAGATCATCCTCTTACATTAACATAAACATTCACATTGCAACATATACACACAGTGCAAATTTACATTTACATTTGCACCTGCTCCAGACATGATGCAAATTTGCTCCTGGTGTAAATATACACGCATGAGTTTACGCGTTCACATGACAAGTATACTCACGTGTGTATTTCTACACACGGTGACACATATGCACATATGTATAGAAGTGCATGTGAACGAGGTATTAGAATTAAAAAAAACAAAACAATTACGGTACTTTAAAATCATAAAAAATAACAATTTTACCCAATTTGCCTGCCAGGGCTACTTAGATAAGAGTGAGTGAGTGAGTGAGTGAGTATGGTTTTACGCCGCTTTTAGCAATATTCCAGCAATATCACGGCGGGGGACACCAGAAATGGTCTTCACACATTGTACCCATGTCGGGAATCGAAACCGGGTCTTCGGCGTGACGAGCCAACGCTTTAACCACTAGGCTACCCGACCGCCCCTACTTAGATTAGAATCCAGGATATTCTCAGACTATCACTTATGGCAAACTCCTACTTTTACTAGATAGTAGATGGTTACTGTAGCTGATCATTTTGATGTAC